GTATTTGAGTTTTCAGAAATAAGAGTATTAGTTGATTTTAGAAAAATATTTAATTTCGTTCTGAGACCTTAATGAGTAAATGTGTTTTGTTCAATTGACCATCATAGAATATTCTCATCTGAGTGATATGGAAGCAGATATATTGACCTACACATTACATATAACACAAGATAGCACACACATATAGCTGCAGTGTGCATAGCAGCTAGGTTAAAGTGAGGTTGACTACCACCTGATGTTGTAGTCAGTTAAATTGGGTTTCTATTTTAATAAAATAATTTTGCATTGTAAAGCATCTTTTCCGATTTGAGGTCTGTAAATGACATGCTAAATCCCATTAGTTAAACTAGATTTAATTAAGTGCAAACTAATGTACTTGATAACAGAAATAACCTGTGAGATTCATTTAGAGTGGTTTGCCATGAAATGGTTTATTTTAAAGAATCATACTGGCTCAGATTTCTTTACAGTGGTTATAGGAACCAGGGGTTGCGATCTCTACAGCAACATATATAACCATTTTAGATACGATCCGGAACCAACAGTGAATCTACATGTATCTTCTGAGTTGTATATATGTAATGTTGATGATGGTCAAATAGTGGTAAATCAGTAAATCTTTTTTTGCCCTAAAATGCTCTGCATGTACCTCTTTACCATGAATGGATTTAAAAAAAAAAAACATTGTCTCAGGCATCAGACAACATATTCCTAACCATTTTGTGTAATAACATACTGTGAGGGAACTTAACACTTTGGATGTCTGGTTCCTATCACCACCACTGTAAAGAAGCATTTCACCTCAAAACTCTGAATTACTTTGTTTACATCTTAGTGATCAAATCATGCAGAAATTTTGAAAGATCAGTGGAATTCCCCTTTACAGATGCACACAAACTGTTTTCTTATAATATTGAAGTACATATTTAAGCATACTACACTCTTAATTTTTTGCAGTGTGAATCTTGCCCATATCTCATGCTGTTGATCTCAGTGCAGCTGTTTGTGAACACCAGTGACCAGTGTTTACAGTGTGGTCTGCAGCATCTTCACACTGAGAGCAGGTCTTGTTGTAGTCTTATGTGCTAGTGGCGTATTATGACGTGTCTGTGTGTGTGGGTGTGGCTGCGGCCTTCATCCAGCCGCAGAGCTCATGAAATATTCATACACACGTGCCGCACTGGTCTAAAAATATCTCTAACTGTTCAAAAATGTAACACACTCACGCACACACATTTCCAAATACAAGCTCCTGGCATGCATGCAAATATCAGAATTTTGAGAAGAGAAAAAAATTGCACTGTTAAATTTTTTTTAATGTCTTGCATGACTGATTATGTGTGTTTTGTGCACAGGGTTCTGAGGTGTTTGTCTGCTTTCAGTCTTCATTCCAGACCCAGAAACTGACATATACTGTAGATCTTAATTCTCGTAAACTAATGGTAAAGGCTGCTAAATCCCAGTAATAGATCCAAAACCATATTAGGTCAAAATGAGCAGCAATACAACAACATAAGCATCAGACACATTTTAAACAGAGTACAATATTCTGTATTATGTTTAACTTATGACACATGTTTGCATTTGAATACCATAGCCCGTTACTTTGGTGTGCTCAGACTTGATGAGGATGTTGACCTGCACACAGTCTTGTCCAGTAGATGGAGACAGTGTATTGATAAGGATCACTGTAGTCCACCACCAGTTAAACCACACTGTGATTTTTTCATATATACACATTTACTTTTTACACTGTAAACATAATGCTTTTTCATATTTCACAGATTTATGTAATTTTACTGTTTAAACTGCAAACACAATGCCTATTACATATTTAACATCTTTATGTAATCATACTGTTTACACTGTAAACACAATGCTTTTCTTTAATGTTATGTATTTATATCTTTTTTACTTTTTACACTGTAAGCAGTATGCTTTTTTCATATTTCACATATTTATTTTTTTGCTTTGTACAATTAAATCACAACACGTTTAAATATGTGTCAGATCCATAGACTTACTTATTAGTGTCCTCTCCCTTTGTCAAGATTACACTTGTCTAATAATGGGCTATGACATTGATAGATATTTCACAAATCTGAGTGACAGATATATAATATATATTGAATGTAGTTCTGATATAGACTGACATAAATCTAGAACATGTATGGCTGTTCACTGACACAGATTAGATCTCGAGTGATGGCTCTTTTATTAAGGTTTTATTAATGGCAGTTCAAAGTACATAAATTCATTCTAAAAAGTTAGAGAGGAAACAACAATCAAAAAAGGCTCAAACTGGCCAAAACAGAGAAGACAAAGGACAGAAACTGAAAGAAACAGAGCTAGGAAACAAAACCAGACAGAAACTCTCAAAATAAGGTTAACAAATAGAATTTGCACACTAGTGAGAGTCTTCACAAAGTGACAGGGAAAGTGGATGTGTTCAGCTGTGAACCAGGAGAAAGAGGTGAGAAGTGGAGATTGGACAGGGTTGGTGAGCAAAAGGCCAAAGAAACAGAGCACTGGAGAGTGAGGGATGGTATGGCAACTACATTACACCATCATTTCAGACTCTCCAATGAAAAGCCTTAATTCCAGGCCTACCCTCATTCCCTGGGAAATAGTACCACATGTTACATGCTGCTGTTATTAGAAGTCCACCCCAACCACAACAAAAAAACTCTGTAATGCCCATGGATTTACTCTGAACTCCCATGAAAGTTTGGAGAAAATGTAGTTCCCTGAAATTAAGTCAAAACAAAAAGGGTTCAGACACTTTCAAACAATACAGATGTGGGTTCCATGGAAAACTTCTTCACATTTAAAGTGGAGCTGTCAGTGTTGTTGATGAGTAAGAAGTTATTCCTTTCCAGATTTAATGAGTGTATACATGCAAAGTAATTATTGTTGACGCGTTCTACCTGAGGAACATGGAAAGGGTTGATGAGATTATTTCGTACAGCAAATTGGATAAACTTGTTTTGGATTTCAGCAATAACTATGTTGTGCTTCTGCACTCACATCTTTAGTGGAAAATGAGATTTAGTGCAGATGTAGAGATGTCCTGGAACAAACTGGCTGCAATCACCTGGACAACTAGATAACAAAATAGGTGAAACCTATTTCTCAAAACTCAAAATGTAATATCTTAAAGCAATAGTTTAGCAAAAATAAATGTACACAATTTTCTCTTACCCCAGAAAGTTGCAATTAGCGTTGTAGTACTTGAGTCCAGTCAAGACAGAGACTGCTAACTTACAGTCTTGCCTCTGTTTTATTCTGTTTGAAAGTTTTGATATCCAATAATTCAACTTCCAGTTACTTCAGATGGAGGCATTGGGCTTGGCTGCTCTCCAGAACAGTTTCCAGGTCCACCTTCCCCCAAGACTGGGACAGGACCGAGACCATTCATTCACGGTTTAATTTTGGCCTTGTCTCAGACTCGATATCATTTGTTCTCAAGACCAGCCGAGTGCAATACCACTGTCTGAGGTAACAGGAAACTGAACTTTTTTCGGTCATTAGTGAATATCAACAGAACCTTCAAACAGAATTAAACAGTCATTTCTCTACATGTTTAAACTGAATCTGTCTGCTGCTGGTTGAGGCTCTAATTGATCCTTTCTACAATGGCTTTACTGCCTATTATTTGTTTGTTGATGATTGTTTGTTGATCATCATAATTCAGATATCCCCTGAGAGCAGATCAGAATGTTATTAATACTTTGATTTTATATCTTAATAAAAACGGATGTTGTTTGGTTTATGTTCAGTTGACTTTAGGTGGTGAATACGTTTTAGAGAAGAAGTGACAGAGAATGACCTCACCATCATTTACTTTCAAAAGTTACAATGCAGAGTTGGACTAAGACTATAATACAATGAATATTTTTAGTCAATATATATTGAATGTTATTTTTTGCAGAATTTATTATAAAATGTAATGTTGTTTATTAATACAGGTCATGTATTATGCGTTATAATGAGTGTACAATGAACTACACATAAATTTAATTTTTCCCCTCTTTTCTTCTATGTTTTTGTATTCTGACAGAATCTTTATCTGGTCTCGCTCTTGCCTCAGTCGTAGACACTCCTGGTCTTAGTCTTGATTCCGACTCAATGTGTCTAGGTCTCAGTCTTGATTTGGACCCGCCTCTAGTTGTCTTGACTACAACACTAGTTACAATCAAGCAGCTCGAAACCGATGGTGATTACCAGTTAAAGTGCAAGACTCAATGTTGTTCCTGGGGCAAGTTCTACTAGTGATGAACAGATATTCAAGACCCTACAGTCCTAAACACATGCAAGTACATTTAAACAGCATTACTGCAGCCTAGAACACACCATCCTCTCTCAATAACATTCTGACACAGTTATGTGCTTTAGTTTACAGAAGACTTAAAAGGTGAACTGGGTGGTACCTGTTAAGAGTTTGTGGAAAGCTTATGTAATAACTGCACTGTGGTGTGTGTGAACAGTGTGCAATTTAGACTATGTGACTTTCAGCCCCAGGTCAAATTAAAGTGTCTTTATTATGCTATTAGCTTACTGCATTTATTTTCTTACCAGCTGTTTGAATTTTTTCCTCTTGCTTCTAAAATAGTTTATTTATCATAAACAATGAATTAAATGTGTAAATATATAAAATATCATTGTACTCTTGTTTTTTTTTATTGTGGCACTACTGTCTTGTTGGTGCATTTTGTCCATCCCAGTTTGTTCAGAAAAATGAAATTCTATTATACCATCTTGTATCATGTTTAAATAATACTATATTGTTACATGGTTGGCATATATATATATATATATTTATATATATATATATATAAATATATATATTTATTTATATATATATTTATATATATAAACTCCATTTACATTGGGTAACAAGACTAATGTAATGTAATCACATAGAAACATGATTCTGAAGTGAGACAGTTAATTATTACAGCAGTGCAGTGACATCATTCCCGTAAAATTAGAAAGTGAAACTGAATGAACCAGGAAGGTCACACTGAATAACGACTGTCTTCTGCACAGTAAGAGCTGATTTTAACTGCTGAATATTCAGATATTCAACTCTGAGACACTTTAAAAAGGGAAACATCCAAAAAAAGGTAGGTACGGGTTAATGCTTTCCTATTTAAAGCTGTGCCAGTATGTAGTTCATCAGAGTGAACTCCATGAATAAACAAAGTTAGATGAAGATATAGTCCACAAACTCTTCGAAAATACAATTACAGTTTAAGACTGACTAAGCCTGTGAGCTAAATTGCATAAAGAGGGTCAAAGCTTGGTGTGTTGTGCTGTCTGTTAGAAGTACAGTGTTGAGTTGCAGGTGAAGCATAAACCCTCTGACAAACAGAGCAGGAAGAAAGAAAGTGTAAGTAATAATAACACTGACCTGAGAATTGTGAGAATGGTCAGCAAAAGTCTATCATAAGTCTATCAAAAGTCATCAAGTCTATCACAGTGTAATGAAGACAACAGGTCTACATGTTTAAAGATTAGTAACACCAGTGTCTTTGCCATGTGTGGACATCAGAACCCGCTTGTCCATTTAAGCAACTAAAGTACTGAAATTTTTTTTTGCAGAATTGCTGATTCATAATGCTGCCTCTGTTTTTCTTTGTATTTGACTGGTCTAAATAATACAGTTTACTCAGTACACAATGTTTAAAAAAATAACTGCCTTAAGCACAGCAGTATCAAGTTTAAATGGCTAAAGTAAATTGTGTAATATGCAGCTAGTAGTACATTTGAAGACTTTGGCCCAATCCCCTTTCTTATTTTTATCCCTACCCCTTATTTTCGAGTGTCACCTTGCCCCTTGGAACTGAGTTACAAGGGGCAGCAGTTAAAATCGCTGCTGGTCTTTAATTTAGGGCATCATATGCTTTCAAAGTGGGGGTATAAGACAATTATTTATTATTGCCTACCCTAAATTTTCCCGTTTTACCTTAAATGATGCAGCAGTTCTGACGGCAGAGGCATCAAAATTAACTGCTGCACCACTTAAGGTGAAATGGGAAATTTAGCTAGCTAGCTACCGAGACATTAGCATAACTAGTGATTAATATTAATTAAAGGACCATAATAGGTTAAAACGACATTAAGCTAAGACAATACAGAGGTTCTTGTATTTTTTTACTGGAGAAAATACTTAGATTTGTGGGTTTCTTTCTTCCATCTTCTTTGCACAGCCATCTGAATGAATGAATTGAACCTTTAGCCAACTGTGTTTGAACACATTGAAATTAGACCTCCACATTTAACCCATTCATGCAGTGAAACACCCACATACATGCACACTAGTGAACACACACTAGGGGGCAGTGAGCACACTTGCCCGGAGGGGTGGGCAGCCCTATCCACGGCGCCGGGGGAGCAGTTGGGAGTTAGGTGCCTTGCTCAAGGGCACTTCAGTCATGTACTGTAAGCTGAGGGGATCAAACCGGCGACCTTCCGGTCACATGGCTGGTTCCCTAACCTCCAGCCCACAACTGCCCCTAATCTTGCTGGTTTTCTGTCATCACACAACACTCCGTTTGGAGTGTGCCTCTGAAAAATCTCTGTTTGTGGGGCCGTGTAGCCCTAACACTTCTACCTACTTCTCCATCTCAATAAAAATTGGGACACCTTACACCTAGGCGTGAACGTGCGAAACAGAGGGGTAAGGGCTAAGTGGTAGGGGCAAGGGGTGGAATGGGATTGGGCCTTTGATTGGACAGCTGACACCTTAGGCCCTCCTCTCTTTAAGCGCTGCTTAAAAATGCATTTTATTTTGTGAAAATGACTAAAATATGGTGTGCATTCACTACTACCCTGTAAAGCCTGAAATAGTCATTTTAAGGTCAGAGGTGTTGGGTCAGATTTTGCGGGAGTTTTTTTCTACCATGTCATGCGTCTTTACATATTACGTCACATACAAATGATCCAGCTTGATGTTTAGGTCTCAAATGCAAAATAAACATTATACTGATAAAGATATGTTAACAATAGTGGATAATTCACTTCGCTTCTGAAAAAAAAAATCATCACCAAGTTTTGAGTTCTCTTTGAATACTCTTTGAATGCTCTTACAATCTTCAGATTCATTCGGATTTGGGATCCAAAGCACAACCTGCTTTACAAAGTGCTCTTCCGCATATTGTGTGCAATTACACATTTCAACCAGAGAGGTCTCCAAATCCCCAAAACATACGTAGTGTAGCTTTAAAAATGTTAAGCAAATTGAGTGATTGCATAATACTGACTGACACGATTCTTAACCAATCGCTGCTTAGCATCCATCTCTAGGTGCTATTTTCCCAATCAAGCCAAGGAAAATTCTGCAGAAACCCTCAGAACAAACCTGCAGTGAGAATGGACGTGGCAGTAAAATAGTCAGAATTAATAGGCTAAGAGGTGTGAAAGGGTGTTACTGGGGAACATTTATTTCAGATATGAAATATACTGATCATGTGGAGGGTGGTTTTATTTTGATTTAATTCCTGAAACTGAAAACTTTTTGGATTAAACTGGTTGATCACAGCTCAGTGTCAAAACTAATAACAAGAATTTATATAGTAAGCCTAACTATCTAGTTTTCTGTGCTTGCTAACTTATTTGATTATCATGGTCAATGATGAATAATGTTACAGAGCAATCAGTTAGAGAGCTAAATTATCTTTTAATTATTTTGCTGCTAAAAGTTATCTTGATAAATGTACTAGGACAGATTAAATAGGACGGTGCTAAGGCACTTGTATACAAGCCGTCCTTTGCATTGCTATCATTGAGGTTTAATAAAAGACCTATAAAAAGTGTCCTCCTTATCATAAAGTTGCACTAAATAAGACTAGTGTTAGCTCTCGCATTAGTTCATCTGAAGGATCACATATTTTGCACGTGCCACGGTGCCTAATACCCACCATCCGCCACTGGGGGACATGCGTTATTTAGTACTGTAGAGCAGCAGTCAGGTATACTGTATGCATAAGACTAATCAATCAGTGCTAATGCTGTTAAATGTATATGTATATGAACAGAGTGATTTTTTTCAGGCTGAAAAAGGGAGGAAGAGGAAGGAAATGGCAGAATCTTCATCATCACAACCAAGATACTTCAGAAGAAAGATGGATAAACCAGAGGGGTGTAAGTTACACAGCTCATACATGAACAGGAAATACAACTGTGTATTTAACTGCATTAGATTTGACCTTGTTGCATATACAGTTATAGCTGTTGTAAGCGACAGTATTAGTTCTTGCCAGCATCCACCAGACTTTGACACCCCATCCTTTCAATCCTGTGCCCTTCATCCAATCTGTTTTACATAGGGCCTCCATCTAAATACATGCACATACATATTAGAGTCACTGACATCACATGCATTTTTTGTGTCAAAGTCCATTATTTTCCCCAAAAATAATATAATAAATGCATGACATTTATTAAATTATTCAGCAATTCCTCTTTTATGTAAAACAATTTTCAGTGCATCCCTTTTAATTTCATTTTGCCTGCAAATGTCTAAAATGTTAGTAGGTGCAAATGTCCACATGTGTGTTGATTAAATAAACTATCAAAAAAGGCAATTTAGTTTGATAAAATTCTAAACAAAGTGGTTCAGCTTAATTTTATGTTTGAAAACTTAAAAAAAGTTGTAAAATAATGCAATTTTAAAAGTACTCAACTCACCAAAAAATGTTTGTCTGCAAGTTTTTACTTTTTCAAAGGCAGCACAGCCAAAAACAAAAGTTTTTTTATTTTGAGATGCTTACATAAAAGTGGGGCCAGGGTATTGCATCATAAGGAAAACTCCAAGTGACCTTCATGTTGCAATGCCAAGGTCAGCAGCCCTTCCTCAAATTTTGGAAAAAAATGTCTTTTTTTAATCATGGTTAGAATGATTCAGTTTACATGGTTCAAATGGTGCAACCAGACCAGTACAGCTCTAAAAACTGAAATAGGCAATTAAAAGCTGTGATATCACTAACTATATTTAAGATATAAAATGCACATAGATATACATGCAAATATATATGCAGATATAAAAATGCACATCATGTCCTTTCTAATAAGATTTTTAAAATGTGTCTTTTTGAAAACCTTATTTCTCATTGACCCATTAACAGCAAGTTAGAGTGGGAGTGAGCATGATGATCCAGAATGTGCTGCTGTGAGTGTAGGATTTTGTTCCATGCAAAGAGTTACACACCAGATTAAAAATGTAATGTATTTGTAGAATTAGCTAGATGTTCAACTGTTTGAGTATCTCAACAATGGTTACATCCCATCCCACAGCTAAACACAGATGGAAAATGACAGTAATTCAGTAATTAATATTTTTAGTCCAGCTAGTTATGTAGCTAGCTATTTTTGTAGCTAAAGTAGCTAGAAATCTGATGGTACTGGTTGGTAGTTTTGTTTGTATAATTCTTCTGTTATTAAGTTTCATGAAAAATATAATTATTCAAATGGGTACTAAAATGATTATAACATTTTCAACATTATTTTGGTTCTCATGGCCTGCTTCAGTCCACTGAAGCTCTCATAATCCCACTGCCCTTTCAGGACCTAAAGCAAAAATTTGCCATATCCCAATAACAAAATCTTGCTAATTTGACTGTAAAAAGGGTAGCTGTGAGATTGTCAGTAAAAAACTTGTAACTTGCTACACATGCATAAATCCAGTACAACACCAATGCTAAGCTTATCACTTATGAAGATGTGCACTAATTTGGAGACTGTTCACTTCAGTCATCCCTCAAAGGAGTTTAGTAACACTAAGAGTAATAACTGACTCATCATTGATTTATCAGTCCACTCAGGCTTTAGCAGTAACTTCAGTGTTTTTAAAGAACTAATGGTGCTTCCTTTAAAGGTGGTATATGTATTCTAAAATTTAGCAGATACATATTTTAAAAGTATTCTGTAACTGTATTCTAAATACTACCTTTACAAAATATGAATATAAAAAAAACATAAAATATATTAAAATACACAATGTTTTAGATAATTATTTGAGTTACTATTAATAATAATCAACATAAACAAGTATTCCGCCAAGAAATGTAGTTCGTTTAGAGTACAGTGTCGTTGCCAAGCAACCATTGACCGCTGAACGAGGAGAAGAACATTCGGTCGCCAATCACTGTAAACTGCAGACTTATCATGATTTTTTAAAACTTTTTTTTTTCATATAACGCAAACACTTTCAGTTTATAAGTACTTTTTGTCACCAATTTACCACCGCGGGTCTTCTGCCAGTCTGACGACGCCACTTTTCTCATGCTGGGGCTGAATCTTAAAAGGCTCCCTGCTCTCTACATAGTGCACTATGTAGCATTCTACCACATTCTTCAGACTTTTATATTGCCGTTTTTCATTGAATCATGTCATGAGTACTTTAATAAGCCTGTGATATTAATGTTGGAGCTGTTTAGCATGTATGCTATCTTTTAGCCTGTTGGCTAGCTGACCAGCCTAGTTCTAGTAAAGAAAATAAGTTTTCAGCCCCTCAGTTTAAACAAAATTGGGTTCTTACTTCATTAGTACACTCGGTGCTCTGTGCGATCAGCATTAGTGTCAAAGATTAACCCATTAACAGCAGAAGGGTTTTTCGTGCCGTGGCACAGTAATACGGAATTCAGTTGTTGTGAAGCGGTCATAGCCGTGGTATATTGTGGATTTTACAATGGCTTTGAACGTGGCTCAGCCAATCAGATTTATCATTGATGATGCTTCTGGGACAGGATGAGCAAGGCAGCAACTACAACCACAATGGCTACTTAAGCATTATTTTTCAAGGCTTAACATACACAGAACAGATTCAAAATGAAAATATTTAATAAAGAACCCTAGACAGATTAAACCCTTTTAATTATTTGTTGTCCTGTGCTTCTTTCCTGGGCCTCAAAGTTGCACATGACTCCAGCAGTCTCCTGTCTGAAGATCAGTTCCTGTGTTCTATCTGTCTGGATGTATTAACCGATCCAGTCTCCACTCCATGTGGACACAACTTCTGTAAAACCTGCCTTACACTGTACTGGAACAACACTCAACACTGTCACTGTCCATTCTGTAAAGAGAAATTCACCAAGAGACCTGAACTGAAGATCAATACAACACTGAGAGATGTTGTAGATCACTTCAAGAAAGAAGGAGATCTGGATAAACCTGAGATTCTTTGTGATGCCTGCACTGGAGTGAAGCAGAAAGCCCTGAAATCCTGCCTGGATTGTCGTGCGACTTTTTGTAAATTTCATTTAGAGCCTCATAATAATGTTCCAGTATTTAAGGAACACAAGCTAATACGCCCAATGGAGAACCTGCAGGACTACATATGCCAGAAGCACAAGAGACCCCTGGAGCTGTTTTGTAGAGATGACCAGACATGTGTGTGTCTGTTCTGCACTGTTACAGACCACAAGACTCACCACACTGTTCCTATAGAGGAGGAGAGTGGAGAGAAAAAGGTGGGAGGCACATTTACACTGCTTAATCAACAATTAATATAAAACATCCTTGAAAAAAATCATTGTATTACCAAATTTCACATTTATAATAGCAAAAATGATTTGTTTTCCTCTCTGCTCACAGACACAGCTGGTGAAGACACAAACAGAGGTGCAGCAGATGATACAAGACAGACTGAAAAACATAAAAGACATCAAACATTCAGTAGAGCTCAGAAAGGTGAAACCTGACACTGTAACTGTTTTATTTTGCAGTTTTGATTTAGTAGAATACACGCTCATCATTCACCTTTAATTGATTGAAGTGAAAGGTTTTTCTGCCATCAGAGAAACACAGAGAAAGAGAAAGCAGACAGCATTGAACTCTTCACTGCTCTGATCCGCTCCATTGAGAGAAGCCTGGCTGAGCTGGTAAAGGTGATGGAGGAGAAGCAGAAAGCAGCAGAGAAGCAGGCTGAAGACCTCATTAAAGAGCTGGAGCAGGAAATCACTGAGCTAAAGAGGAGAGACACTGAGCTGGAGCAGCTCTCCCACACTGAAGACCACCTCCACCTCCTACAGGTCAGTGTCCCTCTATCTGCTCAATGACAATGCAACACATCACACAACAACACTGCCCATGCTGAGGGATTTCTCCTCTCTCCTGCTGGACTGTAGATTTACCCATCACTGTGCAGACCTCCACACACCAAGAACTGGACTGACATCAGTATTAACCCACATTTGAGTGTAGAGACTGTGAGGAACGCTCTGTCTGAACTTCAGAAGAGTCTGGATGAGACACTCAGTAAAACTCTTAATGAGAAGATCAGAGAATCAGGTGAGAATTTTTCAGATTTGAGAAATGTTTTCCAGACAAAAATCTGTAGCAGTGAAAAATGTTTTATTCAGAGGCTATACGAGAAGTAACTAATCAATGTGTTTTTATGTGTCACAGATTAACTTAAAATAACCTCTAAAAATATTTTGTTTTGTTGTAATTAGACTTCACAGAACTGAAGAGGATTCAGCAGTATGCAGGTACAGCGTGGTTTCTGTGTCAGTGTTATTATACTTCATTACTCAATCATTTTGAAATCCTCATCACCCCAGTTACTTTGAAACTATATGTAGTTGGACTGCTCTTACTGCGTCACACCTCCCTTCAGCAATGCAGTCTCTGACACAGTCGTCTGACCAGTTCTGTTGCATTACACATTAAGATATACAGTCCTGTCCAGAAGTCAGTGATCACCCTTTTATTTATTTAATTTACAGTCACAACAACCATTAAATACACGTTATTCATTTAGAAAAAAAAACAAAAAACAAAAAACAGAAAGCATATATTCAATAGACAATTACACAGAAGCCTCAACAACTATATATATATACATTTTTCCTATTTAGTGTGTCCACATTATTTCATTTTATCCCATTATTTTCTGGATATTTGCTTTCGGTTTTTAAAGAAATCTAAAGGGATATTTTTACACACCTCCAAAGTTCAGTCTTAAAGGTTTTGCATTTTCACAGTTAATGATGTTGATTTCTAGACTCTGGAGTGGTCAGTCCATTATTCTGAGAACACCAGCAGCTTCACTGTTTTTATTTGATGTTCCTCTGTTTTCTTTAACTCCTTTTCTCAGTAAGAGCTTCTCTACAGCTACACATCCTTTCAGACTCATAGTGTTGAGTCTTCTTCTCACAGTGGAAGGATGGACAGAAACACCTGCAGTTATTTTCAGATCTGAAGTGAGAGTGGAGCTAGACTTTCTCCTCTCTCTCAAAGACAAATGCTTTCAGTACTGTTTATCTAATAGGGACAGTTTTGGGGGTCTTGCACGGTCGTTAGGGGTCCCATTTTCTCTGTATATTTTAATAATTATTTGAACTCCAGTTTTTGAAACTCCTGTTTTTGCACTTATTTTTCTCTGAGTTTCCCTTGTCTTATGCAAGTGGATTGTCTTATATCTAATCTCCTCAGAAATATCAAATTACTTGTACTTAATGGCCATTTTTACAGGAAATTAAATGAGGGATGGTCTTTGACAGTACTGTATATAGACAAGCAGTTACCATTCCACATATTCTTTTAACTAATATGATTAATATGTACTGAATTATGAATTAATTTGTTTCCTGCACACTCATATCACACACTGTCTCTTTCTCTCAGTGGATGTGACTCTGGATGCCTATACAGCTAATCCACATCTCATCCTGTCTGATGATGGAAAGCGAGTGACGCATGGAGACACAGAACAGAATCTTCCTGACAACCCAAAGAGATTTGACTATTGTGCCTCTGTTTTGGGAAAGGAGGGATTCTCCTCAGGGAGATTTTACTATGAGGTGCAGGTCAGAGGGAAGACTGAGTGGGATTTAGGAGTGGCCAGAGAGTCCATTAACAGGAAAAGGATAAATTTGCTCAACCCACAGAATGGATTCTGGGCTGTGACTCTTAGAAATGGTAATAAGTATGAGGCTTGTGCTGGTCTCTCAGTCGCCCTCTCCCTGAGAGAGAGGCCCCAGAAGGTGGGGGTGTTTGTGGATTATAAGGAGGGTCTGGTTTGCTTTTATGATGTGGAGTCCAGATCTCATATCTACTCTTTCACTGGTCAGTCTTTCACTGAGAAACTCTATCCATACTTGAGCCCCTGTTATAATGATGGAGGTAAAAACTCAGCTCCGCTGATCATCTCACCCATATTTAAGACTAACATCTAAACCAATTGAATATTCTGTCAAATGTAAAAATGAAAATGGAAACATAACTTTATGTAACTCACATCAAATGTATGACATCAGAGTAATAATCTGAAATATTCTTTCTCTAAAATACTTCTAAAAAATTTGGCCTATCAAAAACTCTGAAAAATATATTTTTTTCATTAACATAAAGTAAGACTGCATTTCACTCTTTAGGTTCAGAGGTTTACTAATGTAAAGTGTTATTATTAGTTAGAGATCAGGGTGCTGTAGTTCTAGAGTCAATCACTGTTATCTGCATGAGTCTCAACACTGTATGTGCTGTATAGTGATTTGCTGAAATATACAAACTGGCTGACTGGTGTCTATCTGTTCAGAAAGCACACTGTGTGAAGTATTACTATACTATTACTATTATAAGTATTACTATACTATTACTATAATTATAATTAGTATTGTATGACAAACACTGACTTTTATGCTGTGTGAATTACAGTTTGTCTCTCTTCACTCTTATCTGTTCTCATTCTTTTCTGATGCAGTATTTGTACTAGCCAGTAGACGGCAGCAAAGCAATAGCTCTGAATTATGAAGAGAGGTATGAGCTCCTCCTTCCCCTCTCACATAAAATCAGACAGTGAAAGTGAGTGGGAGATGTGAATACTTGAGAACTGCATCCATTCCTTGTCCATGAGGATTCTGGATTAGCACTGTAACACAATGTTGTGATAGGTTGTTGTTTTGAAAGTCATCAGAAGGACTGAAGAAAAATATTATAGCAGTGTGTCATTATTTATAATCTCAGATGGTGAATTTTATAATCTCAAAATGTGTCTCACTCTCTGGTTGTAATCTCATTGGTAATAATGAGAGGTAGAAATAGGGAAACACTGGGTTGGTTGGGTCACATTTTTCACTCCAGCTTATCAAACTGAAAGCTTTGTATACCCAATATTGGGATTTGAGCAAGACTGTGATCCTGCTTACTGTAACATAAATAACATGATCCTGAATTCAACTATGGTTATTATCAAGAAGCTTTAAAGTCATAATGAATATTAAAATGTAATGCTGTATGTTGTCCCTGGGGCAAATTCTGCTAGTGATAATGTGAGAGTCAAGACTCATCTATGTTCCCTACCCTCACATTTTAAACACATACAGGTAGATTTATTCAGCATTACTGCAGCTGAGAACACACTATAAACTATTCAGAAGAATCTGACCCATCTAAGTAATGAACTTTAGTTTACAAAATACTCTAAAGATGATGAATTGGTGTCTGTTAAGAGTTTGTGGAAAGCTCATGTAATAACTGCACCGTGGCTTCACAGGAGAAGATGCAGAGACTCTCTAAGAGACTCTCAGTCATTAAGTTAAGTTATAAGTTATCCTTTATTAGAATTCTCCCCCGCATTTTAGCCACCTGTGCAGTGAGACACCACATACACACTTGTAAACACATACACACTAGGGGGCAGTGAGCACACATGCCCCCTAACCACAGCGCCCGGGGAGCAGTTGGGGGAGTTGCTTTACTCAAGGGCACTTCAGTCATGACCTGTCAGCTCAGGGAATCAAACCAGCGACCTTCCGGTCACAAGGCCGGTTCCCTAACATCCAGCCCATATAAATGAATTATGCGTTTATAAGCACTGAGCTGGTTTCCTGACACGTTTAATCTGCAACAACTCGCGAAGCTGAAGTCGCTTCTCATTCACCAGTTTCTCGTTCAAATTGTCCCGTTCCACCTTAAATGGTGCCTCGGGAGTCAGATTGTACTGCTGCGCCATTTAAGGTGGAACTGGACAATTCGAACGAGAAGCTGGAGAATGAGAAGTGACTTCAGCCTCGTAAAAAGTTGAACATTGAGAGACATTTTACAAGAAACTCGCTGAAAAGTTTCCTGACTGAGGTGCGAGAAAAGCGGCTATAGCTGAGCTAAAGCTTAAAGCAAAGCAAAGTAAGTCTGCATTATCATTTAAATTAGATTTTTTTATGGTAGCACATACTGAGACATTACAGCCAAGATGGTAAATATAACTTGGTAGTGGCTCCCAAGGTGGTTTAATTTTTGCTGAAAGGACAGAATGGCTCTTCTCACCATTTTGGTTGCCGACCCTGAGCTAAGCCTATTAGTAAGGGGTGATCAGCGTGTGCCTGTTTGCTCGAACTGTCCACGGCTCAGTCAGGATTGCACAGTCACACCCGTCCAGTTATCAACTGCACTCTATGGTTCACATTTTGCGCAGATTGCCTGAAGTTTGTAGCGAAATTGTAGCAAAAATTTTCATTATAGCTACACAAATATTTGTAGGCACTACAGCTATTAACCACATTTAATAAAGTCTTCCACTTCCTGGAGGATGTACTGGATGTAAAACTGAAATAGCAATAAAATCCCTTAACTTATTATACTATATATGACACTGCACTGATGACATAATAGCACTTATGCTGATCTGATTTATTTCCTTACATACAAAACAGAATTAGAGAGTTTTTTTCTTTATTTTTTAACAAAACAAAAAATACCTGCAGTTAATTATTGTGCGTTCTTCTTCTTCTTCTTATTATTATTATTATTATTATTATTATTATTATAAACATTGTTCAAGTTTCTAATGAACAGTTCACTCTTCTCTGTTCTTATTAGTAGTGATCAAATATTGAACTGGCTTAAATGAGACTACATGTCTGTACAATCAATTACAGCTTGATATTAAGAAGATCTGCTAGATGTTAAAGTCCTGAGATTTTGAAGTTAAGCTGACCTTGAGTGTAATTTTCAGTGTTTTCTAGAATTGTTCTCACTGCTCTATCATTCTGTCCAGTTTCTACATTTATTTTATCATTAGTTTTCATGGTTGTTAATTTTGCAAGTTCCTCTTTTTCATCTGAAGGTGTGATCCTCATGTTCCGCATGTTCTTCATGTTCCTCGTGTTCCTTCATGTAACTCCTTCAACAAGAAGACTCCATTACACTGTGAAAGAGTTAATCACCTTTAAAGCTCTGTTAACATTGAGTAATGGGAACTGAATATAATGTATTCACCTGTGAACATTATTCTGAAGTGATGTGTCTAATTATTATGATGAGATGGTAATTAAGTGTCAGTAAAGACACCTGACCTGTAGAGTGCGCTGTCCTACAGGTTTTAGTGAAAGACTGCAGTTCGTCTTGAGGTCACTTTAACATGTAATGTGAATAACGTGTGTAATTTCTGCTTAATATATTACACTGAATTTGTATAAGTTCTCCCATGTTTAAATGATGAACTGTCTTAACTCAGATGAATAAAAACTCAGCTGAATAATAACGTGAGCAGGGAAATGACGTCACAGCAGGTGAGAGAAAGTGAAAGTGGGTGAATCAGGAAGCTCACATAAACACTGTCTTCTGTCTATTAGGTAGTTGTTGGATATTCAGTAACTCTGAGAAGAGTTTAGAACAGGCAATTCTGACACTTCAGAAAGGAAAAGGACAGAAAATAAAGGTATGTTCGGGTTAATGTTTCATATTTTGAAGTTGTGCCAGTATATTGTTCACCAGAGTGAACTCCATGAATTAACAGAGATATATAAAGACCACAGACACTCAGACACTGAGTTTTTGCTGATTGACAAGTGAGATAAACTGAATAAAGAGTTAAAGCTTGGTGTGTGCTGCTGTCTGAAATAATTAATTTTAATATGTGTAAATAAAAATTACAGTTACTGAACTGCGACTTGTGAAAATGGTCAGTAAAAGTCTGTCCATTTTACAGAATAATTAAGATTTCAGATGAATCAGTTTGGAGATAAATAACACTGGAGTCATTGCCTCTGTGGAGATACTTCATATAATCCTGTAAAGCAGCAGGCAGGTATGTGGTGTTAATCAGACTAATCAGTCATTAATATCTCATACTGTCACATGCATTAATTGAGTGATGTGATTTCAGGCTGAAAAGGGTTAAAGAGGAGGAGGAAGGAAATGGCAGAATCTCCATCATCACAACAAAAAGCCAGGAGAAGAAAGAGTATAGATAGAACAGAAGGGTGTAAGCTCATAAATTTGACTACATTTGACTGCTCCCTGTTTTTCAGTCTATTTTATTTATCTCGTTGTGTAAACTATAAAAAACATAGTAATTAAATAGTAATTTATTTACAGTATTTATACCATATTATAAAACTACAATGCTTTATTTCTAAATGCAGTTGATTACTGTAATTGTATAGCATTTCCTGAACTCTTTTATTTCTAATGTACAGCTGATATGTGCTCTAATGTGAACCAAACTGTCTAAAGACGCTCGGTTTTACTACACTGTGTAGTACAGCATGTAAAGATATGAACAAGTACAACAAATCTAACTACCTGCTGGTAGCAAATGCTTGAATGTCCATGCAGACTGTTACATAGTTAAAGGAATGATCGCACTACTTTTCACAATAGTGTAGTTCTGTTTATCAGTCACACCATGAACTGAACATCACATTACAGCAGTTACTGCACTGATACCAGTCATACAGGCTACAAAGACTGCAGTAACCAAATGTCTATTAATTATAGCATCACAGGATTAACTAGTTACTGAAACACAACACCATCATGATTAGAATAACAAAACAGGCAAAATACATTTAAACACATCTTCGTGGTAAAAATAACATGGTAAAACAATAACTCACATGTAATGAACTGGTGATGAAAAATAAAAGGAAATTAATAAAACTAACAGAACTACAAAGAATGCTGGGAAGCTCCACCCCCATCACTACAATATTCAGAGACAGGCTGCTCAAGACTGCACAAAATCCTGGGCACTTTCCAATATGTTTTGCAAAAAAGCAGCTAATTTTAACTTCTATGACAAAAAGCTATATCTGTTTCTCCCAGAATGCACCACTTTTACAGCAAGCTGTTGGATTTAAGGGAAGTGTTAGATTACTGTGGTGTTTTTGCTGTAAATTTACTTCTGTTCTTTACAGTGTGACCTGTTAAAGCTGCTGTTATATCAAGTGATATTCATAATGTTTTGCTAGGTTCTCATCCTTTTCATCCTACACTCTTTATCCCAAACTCTCTAAAACCCCTCCATCCAAGACATGCATGCGTACATTACTAGAAAGTTAGAGTGGGTGTGGGTATCATGGTCCAGAACACACTGCTCTGAGTGATTTTGTTCCACACAAAGAGAGTTACACACCTGAGTCCAGATTACTGGTTGAATTTTTAAATTAGCTACTGCTTGTATGCTTTCACAATGTTTACATCCAAGCTAACAACCTTTACAGATAAACACAGACTGATATTTACAGCAACTCATGTTTTTATCCCAGCTAGTGATGTATCTGATTATTTTTGAGTTAAACTTGCTGTACCTTTTTGTTTCTTGTAGTCATCTTCAGTTCCATTGTATGTGTGTGAACAATGTGTAAAGACAATTCAGTCTTTGAAAAATGTTAATATGTTATTTAAAATAGAGGCTTTTCCTTTTCTTTTTCTTTTTCCTTCATGATCTGTCAAACACAGTTGCACATGACTCCAGCAGTCTCCTGTCTGAAGATCAGTTCCAGTGTTCAATCTGTCTGGATGTATTAACTGATCCAGTCTCCACTCCATGTGGACACAACTTCTGTAAAACCTGCCTTACACTGTACTGGAACAACACTGAACACTGTCACTGTCCATTCTGTAAAGAGAAATTCACCAAGAGACCTGAACTGAAGATCAATACAACACTGAGAGAGGTTGTGGACCACTTCAAGAAGAAAAGTGGTCTTATTAAGCCAGACATTCTTTGTGATGCCTGCACTGGAGTAAAGCAGAAAGCCCTGAAATCCTGCCTGGATTGTCGTGTGACTTTTTGTAAATCTCATTTAGAGCCTCATAATAATGTTCCAGTACTTAAGAAACACAAACTAATAAGCCCAGTGAAGAACCTGCAGGACTACATATGCCAGAAGCATGAGAGACCCCTGGAGCTGTTCTGTAGAGATGACCAGACATGTGTGTGTCTGTTCTGCATTGAAGGAGATCACAAGACTCACAACACTGTTCCTATAGAGGAGGAGAGTGGAGAAAAAAAGGTGAGACAATCATAAACATCAACTGTAAACAATCAAATGAAAAATGCAAACTAATTATACTGAAATGAATTGTTACTCTGAGTTTAATAACAAAAATTATTTGGTTTCCTGTCTGTCCACACAGCTGATAAAGACCCAGACAGAGTTGCAGCAGATGATCCAAGACAGACTGAAGAAGATCAAAGACATCAAAGACTCAGTAGAGCTTAGAAAAGTGAGTAAAACATCATAAATACTTGATTATGCACTTTTGATTTAATTTTGTAGAATTTGTCAAACACGTGTAAAAAAACATGCTAATAATGCACTATAATTTGATTAAGCCAGTTTTTCTTCCATCAGAGAAACACAGAGAAAGAGAAAGCAGACAGTGTTGAAGTCTTCACTGCTCTGATCCGCTCCATTGAGAGAAGCCAGGCTGAGCTGCTTGAGGTCATGGAGGAGAAACAGAAAGCAGCAGAGAGGCAGACTGAAGACCTCATTAAAGAGCTGGAGCAGGAAATCACAGAGCTAAAGAGGAGAGATACTGAGCTGGAGCAGCTCTCCCACACTGAGGACCACCTCCACCTCCTACAGGTCAGTGTCCCTCTATCTGCTCAATGACAATGCAGCACATCACACAACAACAACACTGCCCATGCTGAGGGATTTCTCCTCTTTCCTCCTGGACTGTAGATTTACTCATCACTGTGCAGACCTCCACACACCAAGAACTGGACTGACATCAGTATTGACCCTCATCTGAGTGTAGAGACTGTGAGAAACGCTCTGTCTGAACTTCAGAAGAGTCTGGATGAGACACTCAGTAAAACTCTTAATGAGAAGATCAGAGAATCAGGTGAGAAACTTTTATATTTTACATGTGTTTCAGACAAAAATCTGTAGCAGAAGGAGTCTTTTTTTCAGAGGCTCCAAAAAGATCAGAAAAATATCTCTTTAAAATCTAATGAATATTACCTTTTGTTGTAATTAGTCTCCACAGAACTGAAGAGGATTCAGCAATATGCAGGTACAGTGCGGTTTCTATTTTATACTCCTTTTTATGTTATGTTATTTATTTATTTAAATTATTTTAAAATGTTCATCACATCATTGATACTAATGAAACTAAAAAGGCTGCACTGACCTTGTTTCACTGTGCAGTATGTAGTTATTTGTTCCAGAAAGGATTTTAATCAGCATGATAAATTGAATCATAACTTAATATTTTATTGTGAAATACTCATTGTCATTCAATATTATTATTTAATTATCTTATTATTTTATCTATTAGTACATCCATACTTACATGTCGTATTGTGTGTTTCTTTCAGTGGATGTGACTCTGGATGCTGATACAGCATATCCCAAACTCATCCTCTCTGATGATGGAAATCAAGTGACTTATGGAGACACAGAGCAGAATCTTCCTGACAACCCAAAGAGATTTCATAGATGTTGCTGTGTTCTGGGAAAGGAGGGATTCTCCTCAGGGAGATTTTACTATGAGGTGCAGGTCAGAGGGAAGACTAAGTGGGATTTGGGAGTGGCCCAAGAGTCCATTGACAGGAAGGGGAAGATTACAGTGAAACCACAGAATGGATTCTGGACTGTGATTCTGAGGAATGGGAATGAGTATAGAGCTCTTGCTGATCCCTCAGTCCCCCTCTCCCTAAAAGAGAATCCCCAGAAGGTGGGGGTTTTTGTGGATTATGAGGAGGGTCTGGTCTCCTTTTATGATGTGGAGTCCAGATCTCATATCTACTCTTTCACTGGTCAGTCTTTCACTGAGAAACTCTATCCTTACTTCAGCCCCTGTAATAATGATGGAGGTAGAAACTCAGCTCCACTGATCATCTCAGCTGTGTCTAAGAAATTGAGCAGTTTGCTTGCAATGGAAAGTTGTTGAAAAACAATATGTTTTTTCTCAGAATTAAATCTCATCATTAATGTAGAATCACAATTGAAGTAATTTTTGAAACAATTTTAAACTTTCAGTGTGGGAATGTACATATTACTTATTACGTTATAAGGAATCATACATACACTGTTCATTTGTACAGAATTGCATAGTACTCGCCATTCTTCATCTTAATGGAAATAAAAATTCAGCTCCGCTGATCATCTCATGGCTGCTGCTTGCAGGTTGCTGTTGAGGTTGTGATGCTAATAATGTGGGACCTGCTCCCCTCTTCAGTCACTTCAGTGTGAAATGCTGAGCAAAGCCAGCTCGATATTGTCCAAGGCCTGAGAAACTGTCTGGAGTGAAATGTGCAGAGCAAACAAAAAAATTTGAATTAAAGTTGTCCAGGATGCTGTTAAAGATGTGGGAGCTGAAGTTGACTTGCTATTTGCCAGCTTGTTTTGCAAATTTTCTGTTCCACCTTAAATGCTGCAGTTACATTCTGGCACTGTACATTCTGGTGACTGTACAAACTGTAGCATTTAAGGTGGAATGGAACATCTGATTAAGAAGCTGGCGAAAAGGAAGCCAACTTCAGCCTCATTTAAAGATGAACATCAGCCATGCCCGCTGACAGTTTGGTTCCTTGGGAAGGGCGTGAAAAGTTCCCACATCCTGGAATGATACATTTCTGCACATAGTCTGCCATTTTCATTGCTGTTGCTCAAAATTTAACTGATTTCTTGTCTGTTAACAGTGACAGTCAAAAATTAACAGACAACAGTGCCTTAAGCTCAAATCTGCAAATTCACTGGATTTAGCTGATGTTAACCGGCCAGCATTAATGGATATGAGTCACACGTTGGAATCCAACTAAAATAAACACTGTGTTTGTGATAGACGTTATTGTTGATTATGAGACAATGACAATAAATAGAACATTTAGAAGAGACTGCATTTTTAAAGATGGGTTTAGTCAGGGGTGGATTTACAAACCCCACTTAGCAGAGTACAGTATTAACAGCAACACATTCTCTCCGTATTTATCTATGGGATCTAAAACTACACACAATGTCAAAGAAAACACAAGAAAATGTCCTAAAAATGTTAGAGACAAAACTGAATAAAAAAACAAAACCTCTGTTTAGTATCTCCCTCTGTCTCTACCAGTGAAATGAATAAAGGACTCATTCTCCAGTTTAACTGCTGCATGTGATTTTCACAGCAAAGAATTTTTCCACTTTGCTGTCATAAACCAAATACACAAATCAACTTCAGTTCAAGGACTCTGTTCCTCTGATCTTATACTAAAGTGGTTTAAAGGCACTCTGTGTAAAGTGAGACTGCACTGAATGACAGAGTGACTGTTATGCTGTGCACTCTTCACTCTCATCTGTTCTCACTCTTTCAGATTGCAGTATGGAAATGACATATAAAATATATTCCTTCTTCTCAAAACAGACAGTAAAAGTTAGTAGGTAAGAGATGTAAGTGAAGCAGTGTTTCTAAAGTTCAGAAGTGCTGTTCCTTTACTATGAGCTAGGAGAAAAAATATATTTTAGACCAAAGTCTTCTCTCACAAAATGTTGTAAAACAATGTCTCAGTCAGTTTCTTTCTGTCAGTTTGTTTTTAGAGGTATTAAAGGGGAATTCCACCAATTTCCAAAATGCATAACTCAATAATTAGATTTGTTGAGTCAGATTTGTTGACAGTGATAAGAACCACTTTGTGTGAACCAAGCATTTTTAAATTCATTCATGGCACAGATGTACATTTGGGATGTTATAAGAGGAAAAATAGCACCCAAACCAGCATCATTGTTACATACAAAACACAGAAGACGGTTCACTGGTGGTTTTGGATAGTAAATAAAATGGCTGTATTTGTGTTGTAGGCATACTGACCCCTGGTTACCATCAGCACCACTGTAAAGAAGTCTGAGATGTTAAGTTTCTGTACATATGAACCATCACAACGTATTTCAACAGTTGAATTATAGAGAAATTTGGTGGAATTCCCTTTTAAACACTCAGATCTCTGGTTCATGTCATCACTACTGTGGACAGTTCTAGTTTCTCTAAAATGGAGTATTTCACATCAAACAACTCTGAATGACTTTGTTTAAATATTAACAATTTAATTATGCAGAAATTTGGAATCAATGGAATTCTCATTTAACAGAATTTGTGAGCAGAAAACTCTTCACTTATTAATTTTGAAATACAAACTCACTTGAAATGAACTGATTTATCAGGTTCACAATCCTAGAGTCTAATGGTATGTTTGAACAGATTCATAAAGATCAGAAATGAAGTGAATTCAGACTGAGATCATGAAGCTGTTTAAATGTAAATCTCTGAGCTCATCATCTGCTTAGCACAGGTTCTTCTCAGTGCTCACACTGTGCTGAGTATCCTTCACTTCCTGGAGGACATCCTGTATGTAAAGCTAAAACAGCAATAAAATCCCTTCACTTATTACACTGGATGTCACTGCACTGCTGACATAATAGCATTTATGCTGATCTGTTTTATTTCCTGACAAACAAAACAGTATTATGAGTTTTTTCTTTTATTTATTAATTGATTTTTTAACAAAACAAAAATTACCTGCAGTTTAGTACTTATGGTTTTATGGTCTTCTTCTTCTTCTTCTTCTTCTTATCATTATTATTATTATTATTATTATTATTATTATTATTATTATTATAAACATTGTTCAGGTTTCTAATGAACAATTCACTCTTCTCTGTTCTTATTAGTAGTGATCAAATACTGAACTGGCTTAAATGAGACTACATGTCTGTACAATCAATCACAGCTTGATATTAAGAAGATCTGCTAGATATTACAGTCCTGAGATCTTGAGGTTAAGCTGATTGTGAGTATAATGTCCAGTGTTTTCTAGAATTGTTCTCACTGCTCTATCATTCTGTCCAGTTTCTACATTTATTTTATCATTAGTTTTCATGGTTGTTAATTTTGCAAGTTCCTCTTTTTCATCTGAAGGTGTGATCCTCATGTTCCGCATGTTCTTCATGTTCCTTCATGTAACTCCTTCAACAAGAAGACTGCATTACACTGTGAAGTTAATCACCTTTAAAGCTCTGTTAACATTGAGTAATGGGAACTGAATATAATGTATTCACCTGTGAACATTATTCTGAAGTGATGTGTCTAATTATTATGATGAGATGGTAATTAAGTGTCAGTAAAGACACCTGACCTGTAGAGTGCGCTGTCCTACAGGTTTTAGTGAAAGACTGCAGTTCGTCTTGAGGTCACTTTAACGTGAACAGCGCGTGTAATTTCTGCTTATTGTTAATATATTACATTGAATTTGTATAAGTTCTCCCACGTTTAAACGATGAACTGTCTTAACTCAGATGAATAAAAACTCAGCTGAATAATTACAGCTGAGCAGGGAAATGACGTCACATCAGGTGAGAGAAAGTGAAAGTGGGTGAATCAGGAAGCTCACATTGAATAAACACCATCTTCTGCACATTAGGTTCTAATTTTAGTTGTTGGATATTCAGTAAATCTGAGAGTTTAAAACAGACAATTCTGACACTTCAGAAAGGAAAAGGACGGAAAATAAAGGTATGTTCGGGTTAATGTTTCATATTTTGAAGTTGTGCCAGCATATTGTTCACCAGAGTGAACTCCATGAATAAAGTTAGATGAAGACACAGTCCACACTCGGACGCTCAGTTTATGCTGACTGACTACACTTGTGAACTACACTGAATAAAAAGTGTCAAAGCTTGGTGTGCTGTGCTGTCTGTTAGAAGTGGTGAGTATATACAATCCTGTAAAGCAGCAGGCAGGTATGTGGTGTTAATCAGACTAATCAGTCATTAATATCTCATACTGTTACATGCATTAACCGAGTGATGTGATTTCAGGCTGAAAAGGGTTAAAGAGGAAGAGGAAGGAAATGGCAGAATCTTCATCATCACAACAAAGATGTGGCAGAAGAAAGAGTATGGATACAAAGGAAGAGTGTAAGTTACACTGCTCATACATGAACAGGAAATACATCTGTGCATTTAACTATATTTGACTGTTCCCCTTTTCAGTCAGAGATCAATTTATTTACAGAACTCATACTGTATTACAAAATTATCATTGTTTCTAAATACAGGTGATTGCTGCAATTGTACAGTATTTTCTTCACTCTTGTGTTTCTAAAGTACAGCTCGTATTTGCTCTAATGTGAACCTCCAGTGTCTCAGGACCCTCAGTTTCAAAGATTTAGATAAACATAACAAATCTAGCTACCTTCTAGTAGCAAATGCTTGAATGTTCATGCATTTTGTTACATAGTTAAAGGAAAAATCATTTATTTTTACAACAGCATAGTTCTGTTTATCAGTCACACCATGAACTGAACATCACATTACAGTAGTTTCTGCACTGATACCATCATTAAAACTACAAAGACTGCAGTAAGCAAAGATCTATTAAAACATTACAGAATGAACTAGCTACTGAAACGCAAAACACCTGAACTGTGTTTTCCCATTCACTCAGGGCTGTATATTCTTTTTGCCATTCATTCTGTATTTGCAACGTATTGCCATTGCCCCAAGTGCCAATTGTGAGCCTTTGCCTTTTCACTGACTGTGTTTTCTACTTTGGTTTTTCTCTAACATTTTCTAACACTGAATTTTCCCTTTTTACCATTTCTTTAATGCTATAGACAATTTGTTTTCTAAATTTTGCCTTTGTTTCAATAAATGCTGCTTTTGCGTCTGATCCTGACTCTGGTTACAAACACCAACACAGGATGAAATAAATTTAAACATATTTTTGGGTAAACAATAACATTTGTAATGAACTGTGGATGAAAAACATTAACAAAAACTAATGAAACTGCACATAAATGATGGTAAGCTCCACCCCCATCACTACAGTATTCAGAGACAGGTTGCTCAAGGCCGGACAAAGTACTGGGCACTTTCCAATACGCTTTGCAAAGAACTGCTAATTTAAGCCTCATGTGACAAAAATCTAGACCTGTTTCTCTCATAATGCATCATTTTTTACAGCAATCTGTTGGGAATTTAGACAATACATTAGATTACTGCAGTGTTTCTGCAGTAAATTTACTTCCATTCTTCACATTGTGTGCTGTTCAGGCTGCTGTAAGTGATATTAATAATGTTTTCTAACTTCTGTCATTCTTAGCTACCTTTCCCTTTTAATCCTACACCCTTTATCCCAATCTCTCTCTAAAACCCCTCCCTCTGAAACATGCATGAATACATTACTAGACAGTTAGAGTGGGTGTGGGCATCATCAGAACACACTGCTCTGAGTGATTTTGTTCCACAGAGAGAGTTACACACCTGAGTCCAGATTACTGGTTGAATTTGTAGTATTGGCAATTGCTTGTTTCCTCCCGCAATGGTTACATCAAAACTAACAACGTTCACAGCTAAACACAGACTGACATTTACAGCAAGTCAAGTTTTTAGTCCAGCTAGTTATGTAGCTAGTTATTAACATACCTGGAGATCATATGAACTACAGTTATGAGAGAAACTTGTTGTGCCTTTTAATTCTTGTAGTCTACTTTTCTTCTTCAGTGTTTTGTATGAACTATGTGTAAAGGCAATTCAGTCTTGGTTAATAAATGTGAATATTTGTTAGGCACAAAAGAAAAATATTTCCTCATATTTTATCTCCATGATCTGTCAAACACAGTTGCACGTGGCTCCAGCAGTCTCCTGTCTGAGGATCAGTTCCTGTGTTCTATCTGTCTGGATGTATTAACTGATCCAGTCTCCACTCCATGTGGACACAACTTCTGTAAAACCTGCCTTACACTGTACTGGAACAACACTGAACACTGTCACTGTCCATTCTGTAAAGAGAAATTCACCAAGAGACCTGAACTGAAGATCAATACAACACTGAGAGAGGTTGTGGACCACTTCAAGAAGAAAGGAGATCTGGATAAACCTGAGATTATTTGTGACGTCTGCACTAGCGTGGAAGTTAAGGCCCTGAAATCCTGTCTGGATTGTGGTGTTACTTACTGTAAATCTCATTTAGAGCCTCATAATAATGTTCCAGTATTTAAGGAACACAAGCTTATAACCCCAGTGAAGAACCTGCAGGACTATATATGCCAGAAGCATGAGAGACCCCTGGAGCTGTTCTGCAGAGATGACCAGACATGTGTGTGTCTTTTCTGCACTGAAACAACCCACAAAAGTCACAAAACTGTTCCTATAGAGGAGGAGAGTGGAGAGAAAAAGGTGGGAGAGACATTCATTAACATCAACCTTTAACATCCTTATGAAGAACACAAACTAATTTTACTGAAATGATTCATTATAATACCATATTTGTTGTATTTGGTGCTTCTGACTGTATCCTTTCTAATGTTTATCCTCTATTTTGAATTAAAATAAATATTCTCTCTGCTCACAGACAAAGCTGGGAAAGACACAGACAGAGTTGCAGCAGATGATACAAGACAGACTGAAGAAGATCAAAGACATCAAACACTCAGTAGAGCTCAGAAAAGTGGGTTAAACATCATTTATGTTATAACTGTTTCATTCTGCAGTTAATCGCTTAACAACTGCAGTTAGTAGCTGTTAATCACATGCTCGCCGTTCAATACTGTTTGATAAAAGTGAAACGATCTTCTTCTATCAGAGAAACACAGAGAAAGAGAAAGCAGACAGTGTTGAAGTCTTCACTGCTCTGATGCGCTCCATTGAGAGAAGCCAGGCTGAACTGCTTGAGGTGATGGAGGAGAAGCAGAAAGCAGCAGAGAAGCAGGCTGAAGACCTCATTAAAGAGCTGGAGCAGGAAATCACAGAGCTAAAGAGGAGAGACACTGAGCTGGAGCAGCTCTCCCACACTGAGGACCACCTCCACCTCCTACAGGTCAGTGTCCCTCTATCTGCTCAATGAGAGTGCAGCACATCAAGTCAATGCTTTATTGTTATTTCAGCTATATTCAAGTACACAGTGAAAGAAACAGCATTCCTCCTGGACCATGGTGCAACGCAGGAACACAAGTGCAAGACAATACAGTACAATATATTAATACGAAAGACTTACAATAAATACAAAACAGAACACAGGCAGTACACAGTACTGAGAGTATGTGGAGTTGTGCAAAGGAGGATGTAACATACTATGATATATTAGCAGCTTAGCAGATAGTCTAGCATATATGAGCATAGCAGTCACTGAGGTAGCAACCAGAGCAGCAACACACAACAGCACTGCCCATGCTGAGGGATTTCTCCTCTCTCCTGCTGGACTGTAGATTTACCCATCACTGTGCAGACCTCCACACACCAAGAACTGGACTGACATCAGTATTGACCCTCATCTGAGTGTAGAGACTGTGAGGAACACTCTGTCTGAACTTCAGAAGAGTCTGAATGAGAAGATGAGAGAGACAGGTGAGAAATTTTTATATTTAAAATGTTTTTCAGAGATCTGTTGCAGAATGAATGTCTTTTAAAGGCTCCATGAAAAAATTATAGAACTATATTATTATAAAGATTGCTCCGTAAAAAAATGTAAAATTTAAAAATTTTAAAAATTGTACCTTATGTTGCAATTAATCTCCACAGAATTAAAGAGGATTCAGCAGTATGCAGGTACAGTGTGGTTTCTATTTTATACTTTATGTATGTTTTTTTTTCTTTTCTTTTTTAAAAATGTTTCTTACATCACTGATAAAACCTAAATAAAGCTGCACTGGTTCACTGTGCAATATATGCTTATTTGTTCAACAAATTAATCAGTATAATAAATTGAAGGGTGATTATAATTTAATATTTTAAATAATAATAATAACAGTAATAATAATAATAATAACAGTAATAATAATAATAATAATAATAATAATAATAATTTGTATGCACATACTTATATGTCATACTGCATGTTTCTCTTAGTGGATGTGACTCTGGATGCTGATACAGCTCATCACCATCTCATTCTGTCTGATGATGGAAAACAAGTGACATGTGGAGACACAATACAGAATTTTCCTGACACCCCAAATAGATTTGATAGATGTCCCTGTGTCCTGGGAAAGGAGGGATTCTCCTCAGGGAGATTTTACTATGAGGTGCAGGTCACGGGGAAGTCTGACTGGGATTTAGGAGTGGTCAGAGAGTCCATTAACAGGAAGGGGAAGATTACACTGACCCCACAGAATGGATTCTGGACTGTGTGGTTGAGGAATGGAGATGAGTATGAGGCTTGTGCTGGTCCCTCAGTCCTCCTCTCCCTGAGAGAGAAGCCCCAGAAGGTGGGGGTGTTTGTGGATTATGGGGAGGGTCTGGTTTCCTTTTATGATGTGGAGTCCAGATCTCATATCTACTCTTTCACTGGTCAGTCTTTCACTGAGAAACTCTATCCAATCTTCAGTCCTGATCTTAATCATGGAGGTAAAAACTCAGCTCCACTGATCATCTCACCCGTATTTACGACCCGTATTTAATGTCTGCATGTCCCAATCAGAGAAATTAAAATAAACCCTACTCCCATCTCTACTTCTTTATGCTCCATTATTTTAATTCTGTATCAGTTTGAATTCAACCAAACAGATTGCCAGTGTCAGGCCCAACTGACCAAAAGTAACTTCTGTGGTCTATGTGACAAAATAAAATGTTTCTTTATTGCTCGTCTGCCTATATTAGCAGCAGCTTGTGCTACAAGAATGAGGTGTCACATGTTAAAAGGTACAGTGTGTAACATTTAGGATCTATTAACAGAAATAGACTATACAAAATATACAATATCGTGTTTTCATTAGTGTATAGTCATCTATAGATACTAATCACTGTGTTTTTGTTAGCTTAGAATAAGCCCTTCATATCTTCATAGGAGCGGGTTGACTTCCAGCAGACCAGAACAGACAAATAAAACTCTGTCTCTAGAGAGTGCCTTTCACATTTTTATGTTGAAGTGGCTGCTGGGGCTGGCTCACCACTTTGTGTTGAGAGCAGTTTGAGAACTCAAATTTTGACAAATGGAAGATTATATTATTAAACAATAAGAGAAACCAAGGGAGGGTGAATCCTCATTGTCAAAGATGCAGAAACATGAAGAAGCAAAACAAAATCAGGACAGGTGTAGGTTGAAAACCTGACAGCCACCATGAGTTGTACTATATGCTTGGGATGGAAGGGGTGAGGTAAGAGTAATCAGTTGGTTGCACTCTGTAACCTCACCGCTAGAAGAGAATTCCATGAAAATGAAATTTGGTTGAATGCATTTTCAAAGGCATTTTGACACAGAATGAATGCAGTAGGTGAGAATGTGTAATTGTAAAGAGGAGAGGCACTGTTTCCTTTTTACATTCAAATTTTGCCTGCTTTCTGGCTTTTATTTCATGGTTAAATGTGTAAATAAAGCACTTTGATTCACTCAGGCTGGTGTTTCTGTGTCTCTGGGCTTTCGTTTGGTCTCTCAGTTAGGGTGCGTAGGCCCCTCATCCTCCCCCAGCCACGCCACAACACAAATACTTCACCATTTTGCACATTACATTTTCATTTTAATTTTGATAGTGATATGCTTCCACTAATTTCAACGTATAGATTACAGGTCATTGACCGTTTCCACCCCCCCCATCCCAACCCCACAGTGTTCATATATTGAACCAAAAGCCACAAAAGCCATAAGCACTTCTATAGCACACCTGTCACTGCCCCGCATATTGTAGGTTAACAGGTTTGTCAATGTAATATTTTATTATTAATTACTTCATTAATATTAGAATTCAGGGAGCTGTAGACTCATTATCTGCACCAATAGAGTCTCAAACACTGTATGTGCTCTACAGTGATTTACTGAAATAAGCAAACTGCTTTACTGCCATCAGTCTTCTCGAAAAGTTTCCAAATGTGGGATTGGGTGGATTTTGGGAGCCACTGTAATAAAGGCAGATCCTGTTTTAATGAGAAAAGGGATGACTGAGTGAGATTCAGGAGTAGTCAGAGAGTCAATTCAGTTCAACTGCTGCATGTGAGTTTAATTTATATTATTTCCCTCTCATCATAATCCAGCTTCAGTTTGTTGTCTGTGTCTCTGATGTTAACCTGTTTGAAGAGTCTCTTAAAAAACACTGGTATTTTACATGAGAACACATGCTGTATGAATTACAGCCACTTACAGTTCTGTTCTCACTCTTTCAAAGTGCAGGACATTTTATTTGCCAGTAGATGGTAGCAAAGTAGTGGCTCAAGTTCCTCCTTCCCCTCAAATTGATTAGAGAGGAGAGAGTGGATGAGAGATGGTCTGTGATCCTCAGAACTCAAAAGTTCTATCCTAATGCTGCGAGAATAATAAATTAGCAGTGTAAGACTGGAAATAAGTGATCATACTTATATAAGAGAGTCTTGATTCAAGATTCAAGATTTATTGTCATAGAAAACAGAACATTCAAAAGAACAATGAAACTCTATTACAGCAGGTTGTTGATAATTTTATAACCTAAAATGCTGAAATTCCTTCTACTTGAAAGTAATCAGAGGGGAAAAATTGCTATAAGAAAATTCCTCTTGTTTAAAGTCAGCTCCATAATTATTGGACTCATGGTAAAGATGGGCAACAAAGGAAATTAAAAAATGTATATTTCAATATCACATATAAAACATGAGACAAATATATTCAAGTAAATCTAGCCTAAGAAAATAGAAACCCTTCTAGAAAATAGTAATTAATGTCACTTCTAGAAATTTGTATGAACAAAATGTAACTGAAGCATGATGCATTTTATATTTCACTTTTTCTTTTAAATGACTTCCTGTTTCACTGGGGTGTAATTATGAGGTGACAGAGGCCAAATTAGTCATTCATCAACATGGGGAAAATTAGAATACACAAATTAAATGTAGTGTAAGAAAACAAAATCCCTTCAAAATTATTTTATTGAACAAAACCAGTTGTATCAACTATTGGCACCCCTGTGTTTAGTACTTTGTGCAACCTTCATTTGCCAGCATAACAGTAATCTCTTCTCCTATTATGCTTGATGAGATTGGAGCGAGCAAGGAATCTGAGACCACTTCTCTCTCCAAATCTTCCAGGTTCCCAGCTCACCTCTTTTAGACTCTCCTGTTTAGCTCAGCCCACAGGTTTTAGGTCGGGGGACTGTAATGGCCATATCAAAAGCTTGGCAAAGGCAGACACATGTTCATTTAAAATCTCCTGGTACACACTCTTCAAAAAGATGGTCCTTCAGGGTCCTTTATTAAAGCCAAATGTTCCATTTAGGACCATGAGTGTATGTATGTATGTAGAATCAGTTTCATGCTTGAATGTTTCTTTGCAGGGTGAAATGTTTCTTAAGACTGATGGCGAATTTTTAACTTGCATTTGAGGATGCAGTGTTGAACTGTTTTCACAGACAGTGGTTTTCAGAAGTGTTTCTGAGCCCATGCAGTGATTTCCACTACAGAATTGTGTCTGTTTTTAATGTAGTGCTGCCTGAGGCCTGAAGATCACAACCAATCAATACTGGTTTTCAGCCTTGTCCCTTGCATACAGAGATTTCTCTGGATCCTCTGAATCTTTAAATTATTTTATGTACATTAGATGATAAAATCCACAAGTTTTTGTTGAGAATTGTTGAATTGTTGCATTATTTGCCTGCACAGTCTTTCACAGAGTGGTGAAAGTGGTCAACCCCTCATCATCTTTACTTCTAAAAGACTCACCACCGTCTTTTGAAAATTCCAATGACATAATGCACCATTTGAAATGGAGTGCAGCTTCAAGACAACTACACACGTTAGAATGGTGGTGTTTGGTGCAGGATGTTTGCTAAGTGTGCACTGGCCTTTATTCTGGAACAGTATAACTGTTCCACTAATCTAACTAATCTAACTGGCAGTTAGACAATCTAAAAAGCTGGTGTTTGTTGGACAATGTAGAGTCAGTTTCACTTGGTTTCACACATCTCACTTACATCGGCCTGGCAGCAGCTTGTCTTCTCCACTCAGCACTGACCTGTCCAGCTCTGCTGTCTCTCCTCACTCTCAGACACACACCTTGCTGTGGCAGGTTCTACAGCCTCTGTTTGACAGTCTGCCTGCTGCTTTGGTTGAATCTCTAACAAAACATCAGTAGCTAATGCTAATAATACAGCCTCAGCCTTCACTCCTGCCACTCTCCATAAGCTGTGAGTGCAGGGATTTTCTATTCTAGGTCCAAACATATCCATTTCAGTTTTTGAGCTGGAAATGTGATCTGCGGCCAAGTGGTGTCTCCACTCCCCTTAACAGTCCACAACGCATGCAGGCTTTGTTTTGGTTACAGATAAAATCACAAAAGAAGAGAGCGTGGGTGGGGGTTGGGGGGCCAATGTCTGACTGCAGGTTTTTTTTTCTCTCAATAAGACCCCCAGGGGGTAAGAGGAGGAAGTGACAGGAGGTATAAAAATGATGACCTTACAAAATGCCTCCCTGGAACAATGAAGCTCAATCTCCTCAACATACAGTACAAAGCTTCCTCATATAATGTTGGTTCAACCTAAAAATGTACTTGCAGTATTAGTTTTTTTTAGTGGTATCTGGCAGCTGTACTGGTTTTATTAAAATTAAATACATTTTTAAAATGGAACAAAATACCTCAGATGAACAAAAAGCTACATTTTTCATTCAGAAATTTTTACAATATACATCCTTTATCATGAACAGTATTTTTTACCATTTTGTTTTAGATTGATATTCAGCCAGTCTCCATTTTAGAAACCCATAGAAATGACTTTTAAAGTCAAATGTTATTTTCAGAACCATGTAATCTCTTCCTAAAGTGAAATGCACTTTTAAATTTACAAGACGTGCAACTGCAGATCACAGAATAACTGGAGGTGCTATTTAAATAAGTGAAAAGAGCTTAGAGAGTGGAGTGGTTTGCCATTGGAGTGCGAGAGCTGTTGGTTTTGGTGGATGGAAAATCAGCTTCAAGTGACTTTGGGTTTTACAGTAGGATTGGTCTGTTTTAGTGTTCAAGCGAATGGATGAAAAATGTAATTCATATTTTATTGTCTCTTTTGTCTCTTGTGTGTGTTTGTTTTTGTACCAATTTCATGCCTAATTTGTCTTCTACCCTCTTTTGTCTGACTGTCTGTCTGTCCCTCTCTCTCTCTCTCTATCTCTCTCTTTCTCTCTCAGTGTTTCTCATTAGCGATGGCTCTTCTGGTATCTGCTGGGAGGTGCGGTGTGTTGTGGTGTGAGTATGTGTGCGCGTGTGTGTGCGTGAGGAGGCGAGTGCCAGACATATGGAGTTGATCAGCAGGCTGGGTGCTGATGTTTTCTTTGCGAATGCTGACAGGCTGACAGGCAAACGAGTGCGACACAAAGCCTCCCTCCAGCTTCTCCTGCATGAGAGAGCGAGAAGAAGAGAGAGAGGAGGAGAAGACGAAGAGGAAAAAAAACAAAGACGTTTGCTGTGACTGCCCCCTTTTTTTCCCTCTATCGCTGCCGCTCCTCTTTC